ATCTTTCACATTGGGGCAAATGCATGGTTGTAACCAGTTATAGAAAATTACTCCTAGTGACCCATGCCTTTACTGTTTGCCTCCACAGCACACACAAATTATCCTTGAGGACTTCCTTTTGCCTGAACGCTCTGGGAGTTTCAGAGTGATACACTAATAAAGGCTTCACTTTGCAATCACCATAGCATTGGCACACATGAAAAGAGTAAGCCTGTCTTTCATAGGTTATGTCTGGGAGTGCCTTTTCCTCTGAGTAATGTAGGTCCTGCCTGCATTTTCTTCCAGAACAGGCCTGTTTCATCAATTTTAACACACTTGTTCAGGTTTCAGTCACTTCAGTTCTATGTACTTCCTTGAATTCCTGCACAATTTTTTCAGCCCTTTGTGGTCGCGAACTGCAGCCTCACCATGCCTTATCACATATGGATGCCACTACGCTTCTAAATCTCTCAATCCAACCTTGCTGGCCTAAATTGCACTCACATCATCACTAGTTGCATGCATTTTTTTATTAAATCGTCATGCAACTTCCTACCTTTTCACATATGATCGCTTGAGACGCTATCTCCATGCTAGCTGTTTTTCATTTATCCACACCATAAGAGTCTCTCAACTCTTCCATCACTTGCGATCTTTGTTTCGAAAACACAAGTTAAACCTTTGGCAAGAACACTTCCTTGATTGTCTTTTTGGGCCCACAATAGTAGCGTGGCTTGATTGGGGTTTCTTGTACAACTTGACTAGTCGCGAAAACGCCACTCCACTTTCATACTTATCAATGATCTCTTTCTTCATTTTCAATGGTATTCATTACCTTATTGGTGTACATTGGCACTAGAAGCTTTCTTGGGGCCCATGGTCACTTTATTTTCCCATGAAACACCCGAAAACACTGTATAATACGAAATATTCCGCAGTGTATGCTTGGATGTTAGCCGGAGGCTGGCTGGTAAACAATGGCATCGGCGGCACATGTTGAGCCTGGCTGATGGCCCCGCGCACATTGGACGCGTCTCGGCGAAAATCGGTGACGGGTTTTTAATCGTATGCGCGCAAAAATTTTGTCGATTTAAAGTAAGCGGTATGCGAAATAATCGTATTGCATGCCATCGTTATCCTCCACTTTACTTCATTATCCTCTTTTTCTTAAAATCTCTCTCTACTTTACCAAATCCCTCTTCTCACATTGTCTCATATAAACTCCCCATCTTTCATTTTCTCCTGCACCTCCATTTACTTATACTCCCTCCCAGTCCTTTGTACCCATCTTTACCATTGAAATCCTCTAATCCACCTGTCATCTGCTCCTTGTTCCTCTCCTCCACATTACTTAACATTTCCCAAATCTCTCACTCTCTCTCTCTCTCTCTCTCTCTCTCTCTCTCTCTCTCTCTCTCTCTCTCTCTCTCTTCTCCTCTCACTCTCTCCTCTCTCTCTCTCTCTCTCCTCTCTCCTCCTACCTCTTTTCTCCAGGTGCATATACGCTTACTATAACCCATTTTTCACATCCAACCCTTATTTTACTCCACATAATCCTTGAATTAATACATTTATATTTTCTCTTTTCCTGCCATAACTTATTCTTGAACATTATTGCTATTCCTTCTTTAGCTCTAACTCTGTTTGAAACCCCTGACCTAATCCCATTTATTTCTCCCCACTGAAACTCCCACCTCCTTCAGCTTTGTTTCACTTAAAGCCAGGACATCCATCTTCTTCTCATTCATAACATCCATAAACATCTCTCTTATCATTCGCACAACATCCACGCTCATTCAGACATCCCAATTTGATGGTTTTCTTCTCTTTCTTTTTGTAGGAAATATTTATGTAAAATTATATGTTGAAATATTTTCATTTATCGTAAGTAATGAATTAGTTCCAGTGCATTTTATTTTGCTTATAATAAGACTATCTCTTAATAGTTCCATATTTGTCAGTTTCAAGTAAGTGATATTTACAGGCTTCTCATTGAACTGCCATAATTGCTGTTATATGCCTTGCAGGTCTTTTATGTTTTAACCTTTTTATTTCATACCAGGAAACACATTTACTGTCCTTCATTAAGTGACATTGCTGAAACATTACAGTTCAGATAACAGGGTAGGGGTCGTCCTTGAAAAAGTTGGAGGGAGGGGGTAAAGGAGGTTTTGTGGGTGAGGGGCTTGGACTTCTAGGAAGCACGTGTGAGTAGCTTAGATAGGAGTGAATGGAGATGAATGGTCTTTGGGACCTGACGAGCTGTTGGAGTGTGAGCAGGGTAATATTAAGTGAGGGATTCAGGGAAACCAGTTATTTTCATATAGCCAGACTGGAGTACTGGAAATTGGAAGTACAAAGCCTGCACTTTAACCCTTTGACTGTTTCGGTCATATATATATGTCTTACGAAGTAGCATGTTTGACATATATATTCTCATAAATTCTGGTGGCTTCAAATCAAGCAGGAGAAGGCTGGTAGGCCCACATGTGAGAGAATGGGTCTGTGTGGTCAGTGTGCACCATATAAAAAAAATCCTGGAGCACGCAGTGCATAATGAGAAAAAAACTCCAACCTTTTTTTTTTTTAAATTAAATGCCGACTTTGTGGTCTATATTTGTATAGACCACAAAGCCGGCATTTAATTTAGCTGTGTCAAATGCAATAGCAAATCTCTCTAGTAATGCTATTTTAATTTCATCTCTCTAAAAGAAATATTAGAGCTTGGCTTGAAGACATTTGACTTGGTAAGATAAATGATCAAATGACTACATTCACTGATAATTGTAAAATCAGATAAAGAAAATTAGGTACTGTTCTTTTTGAAATAAGGACACCACCCATAAAACTACAGTGGACCCTCGACTAACGCTATTAATCCATTCCTGAGAGCTCATCGTTAGTCAAAATAATCGTTAGTCAGGTTAATTTTCCCCATAAGAAATAATGGAAATCAAATTAATCCGTGCAAGACACCCAAAAGTATTGAAAAAAAAAATTTTAACACATGAAATATTAATTTTAATACACACAAACTGAAGAAGACATGCACAGTTACAAGACACTTATCTTTATTGAAGATCTGGTGATGATTGATGGGATGGGAAGAGGGGAGTGTGTTGATGGTCTTAGTGTTTAGAAGGGGAATCCCCTTCCATTAGGACTTGAGGTGGCAAGTCCTTTTTCGAGGTTACTTCCCTTCTTTTAATGCCACTAGGACCAGCTTGAGAGTCACTGGACCTCTGTCTCACAACATATCTGCCCATAGAGGCCTGTACCTCCCATTCCTTTATGACATTCCTAAAGTGTTTCACAACATTGTCAGTGTCACCATTAAGCACTTGTTCAGGTTTCAGTCCTTCACTGTCTATGTACTCCTTGAATTCCTGCACATATTTTTCAGCTGCTTTTTGGTCCAAACTGGCAGCCTCACCATGCCTTATCACACTATGTATGCCACTACGATTCTTAAATCTCTCAAACCAACCTTTGCTGGCCTTAAATTCACTCACATCACCACTAGTTGCTGGCATTTTTCTAATTAATTCCTCATGCAACTTCCTAGCCTTTTCACATATGATCGCTTGAGAGATGCTATCTCCTGCTATCTGTTTTTCGTTTATCCATACCAATAGCAGTCTCTCAACATCTTCTATCACTTGCGATCTCAGTTTCGAAAACATAGTTGCACCTTTGGCAAGAACAGGTTCCTTGATTGCCGTTTTCTTGGCCACAATAGTAGCGATGGTTGATTGGGGTTTTGTGTACAGCCTGGCCAGCTCAGAGACACGCACTCCACTTTCATACTTAGCAATGATCTCTCTCTTCATATCCATAGTAATTCTCACCCTTTTTGCTGTAGGGTTGGCACTAGAAGCTTTCTTGGGGCCCATGGTGACTTATTTTGCAGGTGCAATCACTAAAAAGGCTGTGATAATATGAAATGTTCCGATTGTATGCTTGAAAGCGATCGTGGTGGCTGGCTGGCTTGTAAACACTGGCCAGAAGTGGACGCGTCTCAGACGGAACGAATAGTGTTGGTCGAGTTTTTTAGCGCTAATCGAGGCAAAATTTTTGCGATAAAATGGATCGCTAGTCAGATTTATCGTTAATCGATGCCATCGCTGGTCGAGGGTCCACTGTATACTCTTTTTTTTTTTTTTAACACTTTGGCCATTTCCCACCAAGGCAGGGTGACCCACAAAGAAAGAAAAACCCAGAAAGAAAGAAAACACTTTCATCATTCAACACTTTCACCATCACTTATTCACAATCACTGTTTTTGCAGATCACATCTCTCCTTAATGCAAACAGACAATAGTCTCACAGTGGTGCTTAGCATTTCACAGAGTCCTGTTTCGGTTTCCTCAATATGATTATGCTTGCTTATGGCTTATAGTGTTGCAGTGTGAGCTTTGCCAAGGGACGAGGATGGAGATCTACTTCCACATAGTTTCCAGCACAGTCCTTTAGGTATTTGAAGTAATTCTCTCCTCTGGTTGCTGTGTCACGGATATTTCCCCACAGATTCCAACTACATTTGACATCTGTCAACTCCACTTTTGGGTACTTTTGGTGCAATTCCAGGTAGACCTCCCAAGTCCCCTCAGTAGAAAAACTGGGTCTTGAGCTGTGAAAAATGCCTTTTTGTGTTGGATCCTCGGGCTACCAATTCCTTTACTTGTGTTGGAGTTGACACCTGGAACTGAGTAGATGCACAGGCTCTAGCTCATGCTTCTTTATTACAACAATAAGCAAAGCAGGTTGAATAAGGTACAACACCTTATTCAAGAAAAAGCTGCATTTATGAGGGGGAAATAAGTGTTATACTCAGGGTAGGGGTCCCAGGTCCCCTCAGTCTTCAAGGATTCTTTCATGGTCCAAAGCAAAGCTTTTTATGCTAATTTTTTTTATAAATAAAATGTTTAATTCTTCTTTAATTTACAGTATGTTGCAGAACTTCTTTTGTGAAGTTCTAGAGGCAGGAATTGGCATTTTGTATAAGCAGTTTTTATTTCCAGATCTTCCCGGTCATCATCTTACAGTAGTGCTAGCAGAAGTAGAAGTGGAAGCAAGACCAGTAGGACAAGTTTGGCTAGTAGAAGTAGTCGTTCACGATCATCATCACATTCACCTTCTCCCGGTCGTCATCGTTCCAACCAGCGTTCAGCAGCTCCAGGTTAGTTACACATTGTATATTCTTGTTGTTTAAAATGGATAATTCTTCCTTACGTGAGATAAGCTGTTGTGACAGTAACTTCCTCTTTCCTATATTTACATGATAAATTCTGATTGGTCATTCTTGTAACTCCAGCTTTTAGGTTTGCTTTTGCTTTTAATCAGAAAATTGCCAATCAGTATGTATATTAAAAATACATTGTAGCTTAAACTATATTATATAAGAAAACTTGGTATGTATGGAAGTACAGTAGGGCCCCACTTATACGGCAGGCTAGGTTCCAGGCTACCGCCGTAAAGCGGAAATCGCCGTAAAGTGGAACACCTTTTTTTTTCACTTATAAATGCATACAAATACTAGATAACAAGTTTACACTAACATACATTAAGTTAGCAATAGAACTAGGCATCAAAAAACAATAAAAAAGTACAATACACACATAGTACACTCATTACTTACCTTAAAATATTTATAGTCTTAATCTAGGGTGAGACAAGTAGTATTTATTGTAAGAAATCAAGTGTGGTATGTATGGTAATCAGCCGGGCTACCATACCAGGCCACATAGTATTCTATTACATTTAAGCATCCCAGAGCGATAAAATGCACATGCAGTTTACTCATTACTTACCTTAAAATATTTGTAGTCTTAATCTAGGGTGAGATGAGTAGTATTTATTGTAAAAAATCAAGTGTGGTATGTATGGTAGTAAGCCGGGCTACCATACCAGGCCAACCCACCCACACATACTATTCTATGATATTTAAGCATCCCAGAGCGATAAAATGTATATACAGTTCACTCATTACTTACCTTAAAATATTTGTAGTCTTAATGTAGGGTCAGGAGTAAGTAAATGAGATAAAACGAATAAATGAGAGAGAGATAGAATGAGTGCATGAGAGAGGACAGGCGCCGAGTTATGTAAACAAACCAGGCGAAGGTAAGTTTTGTAAACAAACAAAGTGTACACGTCTGGTTTGTGTACAAGTTAAATTGTGTACACGTTGTCTCTACATTGATACGGTAGAATAAATAAAGAAGAACATTCCCATTCTCATGTAACATCATTTTGAGAAGAAATGACGCTCTGAGTGAAGGCAATGGAAATAAGTCACTCTGACTTTTTTGGGTTATCCGAAGTTCTCCACACATCTGCTGTTATGTATGATAATCTATGTAACTGTATTTGTGTATACCCGAATAAACTTACATACATACGAAAGGAATAATTTTCTACAGTTAGCCCCAGTAACACATTTTCTCTTATGTTAGAGTAGAGAAAATGTTATTCTTGCCGTCACTTGTATAAGTTATCTGGCTCCCACATCTCATATTTATGTTTATTTATTCTGTTGTGGGGTGTATTTATCATCTTTATGTGTTATGTATCATGTTTATTATATAATTTTGAAAAAAAATATCATGGATGGATTAATGAAAATGTGTATACAGTGGACCCCCGGTTCGCGAAGTCATCGGTAACCGATAAATCTGGTATCCGAAGCATTATATCGCAAAAAATTTGCCTCGGTTCCCGTTACAAAACTCGGTATGCGATACGATTCGTACGAGACGTGTCCACATGTGGCCTGAACTGCCCCGTGTGTGCCAGTGTTTACAAGCCAGCCAGTGTGCGCGCATCTAAGGATACATTCGGTACATTCCATATTATCCATATTATCACTGTTTTTGGTGCTTGTTTCTGCAAAATAAGTCACCATGGGCCCCAAGAAAGCTTCTAGTGCCAACCCATCGAGACCAAGGGTGCTAATGACTATTGAAATGAAGAGAGATAATTGCAAAGTATGAAAGTGGAGTGCGTGTGTCGGACCTGGCCAAGTTGTATAGTAAATCCCAATCAACCATCTCTACTATAGTGAGCAGGAAAATGGCAATCAAGAAAGCTGTTCTTGCAAAAGGTGCAACTGTGATTACAAAACGCGATCGCAAGTGTTAGAAAATGTTGAGAGACTGTTATTGGTGTGGATAAATGAAAAACAGATAGCTGGAGATAGCATCTCTCAAGCGATCATTTGTGAAAAGGCTAGGCAGTTGCATGAGGATTTAATTAGAAAAATGCCTGCAACTAGTGGTGATGTGAGTGAATTTAAGGCCAGCAAAGGTTGGTTTGAAAGATTTAAGAATCGTAGTGGCATACATAGTGTGATTAGGCATGGTGAGGCTGCCAGTTCAGACCAAAAAGCAGCTGAAAAATATGTGCATGAATTCAAGGAGCACATAGAGGCTGAAGGATTGAAACCTGAACAAGTGTTTAATTGTGACGAAACAGGCCTGTTTTGGAAGAAATTGCCAAGCAGGATTTATATTACTCAGGAGGAAAAGGCACTCCCAGTACATAAGCCTATGAAAGACAGGCTTACTCTGTTGATGTGTGCCAATGCTAGTGGTGATTGCAAAGTGAAGCCTTTATTGGTGTATCACTCAGAAACTCCCAGAGCATTCAGGCAAAAGAATATCCTCAAGGCTAATTTGTGTGTGCTGTGGAGGGCAAACACTAAGGCATGGATCACTAGGGACTTTTTCTATGACTGGTTACACCATTCATTTGCCCCCACTGTGAAAAATTACCTAATTGAAAAGAAATTAGACCTTAAGTGCCTCCTGGTGTTACAGTGCCCCTGGTCATCCTACAGACTTGGCAGAGCGACTTTGTGGGGACATGAGCTTTATTAAGGTCACGTTTTTGCCTCCTAATACCACTCCTCTCCTGCAGCCCATGGACCAGCAGGTCATTTCCAGCTTCAAGAAACTGTACACAAAAGCTATGTTTGAAAGGTGCTTTGAAGTGATCACAGATACTCTATTGACTCTAAAGGAGTTTTGGAAGGATCACTTTAATATCCTCAATTGTGTAAACCTTATAGGGAGTGACTAAGAGGACCTTGAACTCTGCTTGGAAGAAACTGTGGCCAGAATGTGTAGACAAAAGGGATTTTGAAGGGTTTGAGGCTAACCCTGGGAATCCTATGCCAGTTGAGGAATCCATTGTGGCATTGGGAAAGTCCTTGGGGTTGGAGGTTAGTGGGGAGGATGTGGAAAAGTTGGTGGAGGAGGACAGTGACGAACTAACCAATGATGAGCAGCTAGATCATCTTCAACAGCAAGAGGCCAGACCTGAGGAAACTGCTTCGGAGGAGGGGATAGAGAAATTGACGAAGTTGCCTACTTCAAAGATTAAGGAAATGTGTGCAAAGTGGCTTGAAGTGCAAACCTTTTTTGATGAAAATCACCCTGACACAGCTACATTGTCAGTGTACAGGTTGCCGTGTTGGCAACCTGTACACTGACAATGTTGTGAACCACTTTAGGAAAGTCATAAAGGAACGAGAGGTACAGGTCTCTATGGACAGATATGTTGTGCGACAGAGGTCCAGTGACTCTCAACCTGGTCCTAGTGGCATTAAAAGAAGAAGGGAAGTAACCCCGGAAAAGGACTTGCTACCTCAGAGGGGGATTCCCCTTCTAAACATTAAAAACTTTTCCACTCTCCCCTCATCCCATCCCATCATCACCAATTCTTCATTAAAGGTAAGTGTCACTTATTCTATTGTGAATATTCTGTTGTTATTATTGTTATTGTAATTATTCTATTGCATTAAACTTAATATATCATGTGGTAAAAGTTTTTTTTTTTCATATTTTTGGGTGTCTTGCACGGATTAATTTGATTTCCATTATCTCTTATGGGGAAAATTGGTTCGCTTTCAGATAATTTTGCTTTACTATGAGCTCTCAGGAACGGATTAATAACGTGAACCGGGGGTCCACTGTATTAACATAATATACGAGATTTAATGAGACTCAGTGATTATTATTATTATTATTATAATTTCTAATGTGGTGTCACTTGTGCAAGTCGTCTGGCTACCACATCTCATATTTATGTTTATTTATTCTACTGTAGGGTGTATTTAGTATATATGTTATGTATCGTGTTTATTATATAATTTTGAAAAAACATCATAGATGGATTAATGAAAATGTGTATATTAACATAATATACGACATTTAAATGAGACTCGGTGATTATTATTATCATTACTAATATGATGTCTCGAGACATAAGACACTCTTACTGATTTTAATGTGTACCTGCATGCCAGCACAGTGTGTAAGTTTATTTAGGTACAGGTATACATAAGTATAATTATCAGAGTATATATAAAATATGAAATAGCTTTTAAAAACACTTGAAATTTTGGAGTTTCCAGACAAAATGGAGAGACTTAGTACTTACAGATCTCACAGAGAATGTAAACAAACCGGGTGGGGCGCGATGACCCTATTAGAAAGTCAGGTGGGGGGAGCCGTATAGCAAGTTTTGGTCATAATTTGAAATGACCATATTAGCGGAATGCCGTAAGCGGGACCCTACTGTAAATGCATGTGTAATTTTTTTTTTTTTTCAACAAGTCGGCCGTCTCCCACTGAGGCAGGGTGACCCAAAAAGAAAGAAAATCCCCAAAAAGAAAATACTTTCATAATCATTAACACTTTCACCTCACTCACACATAATCATTGTTTTTGCAGAGGTGCCCAGAATACAAAAGTTTAGAAGTATATACGTATAAAAATACACAATATATCCCTCCAAACTGCTAATATCCCAAACGCCTCCTTTAGAGTGCAGGTATTGTACTCCCCATTTCCAGGACTCAAGTCTGGTTATATAAAATAACCGGTTTCCCTGAATCCCTTCACTAAATATTACCCTGCTCACATTCCAACAGCTCGTCAGGTCCCAAATACCATTTGTCTCCATTCACTCCTATCTAACATGCTCACTCACGCTTGCTGGAAGTCCAAACCCCTTGCCCACAACACCTCCTTTACCCCCTCCCTCCATCCTTTTCGAGGACGACCCCTACCCTGCCTTCCTTCCCCTGCAGATTTATACGCTCTCCATGTCATTCTTCTTTGAGCCATTCTCTCTAAATGACCAAACCACCACAACAAACCCTCTTCAGCCCTCTGA